GGTTAAAACTGGGATTGCTTACACGGTAAGAGTCAGTCAGAGGAGTTTCACGCGATTATAGGGCTTTTACACGTTACGCAATTGGGAATCCTTATGTGAAGGTCAACTTCTTTTTGATACTACCGTGACTTAAAAAAACTATGTTCGACGATTTAGCCCAAAGGTCTTTCATGAGTCCCTTAGAAGGAGTACGTAGGGTCAGGCTTCCCAAATGTTATGTTTTGAAAGGTGTACGGCATATTGTTTGAAAAAGGTGATGTCACCAGCTCGATCCAGCCGCAAAGAAGTGCATTGCACAACCGTTAAATTTCTATATCAATGTAAAACTTTCATTGTATTTCATCTATTTGCCTTTACTTGGATGAAAATGATTGAAACACAGCAAAAGCCGTAAGAGGTGTATCTACCCTCCTTACATTATGGTGGAGGTGTCATTTAGTCTGTGCAATGCTAAGGCTGGGACAGTTTCCGAAAAGAGTCACGAATAACCGTAACCCTGCACACGCGGTATTCTTTAAAAATGTTCCCGTAAAACTCGAAGCTTGGGGCCCGTTTCTCGGAAGACCCGGTAACTTAACGGACTTGAAACCATATTTGAAAATCAAAATTTAAACAATATAGAAGAAGTTTCGATTCTCGCACACTATACAGTCCATTTTGATTCTGTAGCTGATAGTTTTTTGTATCGTTTTGAAAACATTGAAACCCCTATCTGGAATAAAAATTTTTACGGCCCCGTTACAAGCAACTTTACGGACCCGTTAAGTCACCGGGTCCTTCGAGAAACGGAATCCACGTTTACTCGGAAATATCCGTTTACCAGGAGTTTGGCACAAGTCTCCTGTGTAACCACTTCTGCAAACACAGCGGAATCTCTTTCCCTTGACATCACAAAGCTCTTCGCAACGATCAGTGTATTTAGCGAAACATGGTGCAGATTTACAACAACCATTTTGGCATTCTGAACAAGGGACGCCCTGCAAAAGACACCCAAGCAAATAAAAAGAGAATGAAGCATGGGTGCACATGGATATGGAATTTCTCTTCGAGTCTCCAACTCGATATCTAACTCGTTTGCTGCGCTCACTTGTGAGACGTCGCATTGACCAGAGAAGAGGAATTTCATATCTAAGAGCAACCATATATTTTTTTTATTATATAGAAACCATGGGTCTTAACCGACCAGAAAATAACTTCGACTTTTTAATTAATGACAGAGTAGCACGAAAGACGAGTGACGTGTCAGCAGCTGATTGGCGATATCAAAAACACGCATCAGTCAAGAATTATCATAATTTTACACGTGTACAGTTACAGCTTTTCTTAGTTTGGGCTGGAAATCCTTGCAAAACACCACAGTTTATAATGAAAAGTCATTTCCCTCACAACATACCCCGACCGTTTTTACTTTTTTCTTTTTTTTTTTTAATATACAATCATCTGAGAGGGACTGGAACTAAGCTGAGGTAACCTCTAGAAACCTTTAATTATGAAGGCTTGGTAGAGCAAATTCGATCACATGAGGTTAGGAGAACAAAGGTGTTTATGAGTCCCTTGGAATTTCCCTGAATGTTTGGCCAAGACCAGGGTGTGTGCCCTTATTCAAAGTATGTGTATTCGAGCGCTTTACTCTTCAGTTATGCAATTCTACTATTTATCGTTCTAGTAAAAGTGTCCTTGCAGACAGCTCAGCCTGAAATAGGGCGTGATCTTGGCGATGCATTTGTAAATGCGTACATTTGTAACTTAAACAATATACATTTAAATCTACTTCTGGAAGTTTTATATGAACATATGCTTCACTTGGTTTCCTAGATTCGAAAAACTGCGACTTTTGTTTTTTGAAGGTATCAAAATAAGTTGAATGAGTTTAGAGGTACTGAAGACCTACCCCTCCCGCTTAAAAGGTTTTAGGTCTCCCTTCAAACCTTTCCCGTATACCGCGATCAAATTTACATCTTACCTTAACGCTGTAAATAACGTGCAGATCGTAATACTGAGCACCAAGATCCGGATGTAAGTCATATGGTTTCAAAAACTTGTTTTCCTTATTCAACTCACAATTCTTCTCGTTTTTAGTTGACCAGAAATTAAGAGAGTTGCACTGGCAATTCATTCGGCAGTTATTATAACATTCTACAGCTCCTGACACTGTTAATGTAGCGATAACGTGATTGTGAAGGGAGTGATCGGCCACCAAATTTTTGTCCACGGTGAAGACATGCTTCACATACGGGCAGTTTTGTTGCCGTGTGCAAGTTATCAAGCAACCGACGACAGCCAGAAATGTAGAAATGACCAGGTTAAACCTAAAATTGAAGAAATCGCAATAGTTTACATGTGAACTACCTAGAATCAACTAACTGAAAAAATATCTACATGTAGTTTCCATTAAGATTAATATATGAAAATTCTTTTTAAAAAAAAAAGCAAAACGGACCTCATAAACCAATAGTTTAGGAAAGTCGAAAAAATTTTAACGCTCAAAATCAGCACACCATAATAAAGCTTAATCCTGAAGTGACCCACAGAGTACAGAATCAGTTTTCAGGGAAAGGTACTTTTTTTGTTTGGTTTCTCTTGGCTTGGAGGTCTAAATTACATTATTTATCGTAAGCTGATTACTCGGTGGTTTGTGGCCAAGTCATGCATATAAATTTTTATGTGCACTTTAGATGCTTGGTGCACTCAGAATTCTTCATTGTCCGTAAGTTGTAACCTTGACGGAGCTAAGGCTTGCAAAGCACAATGAGAGGTTTTGAAATGTTCCCACGATATTTCAACCCTTAAATTTTGCAAAAACTTACATTGTCTGCCTGTTATCTTGGGAATTGGTATTTCTGTGCGCAAAGAATGATATTTCACGAAACGAACCTAGGACACCCGACGTCAATTGACCGGACCGCCCGAGAAAGTAAAACGCTTGCTTTTGTAATCGTTCTGCCATACAAAATATTTGCAAATGAATTACTTTGGTTAATTTGCGAACACCTGCATTCAGGGAATTTGTCTTCCTGTCTGACACCTTTGAATCACGTTCATTGACACTTGCTTTAAATACCTTAAAACTTAAGTTCGAGCGTGTTCTTTTAACTTGTTTTTTCGCAGCCACCTCTATCACCGCAGAGTAACACTTGAGTGGGGAAACTGTCGCTCAAACTTAAAGTTAAAAATGATCTCTTGATCAACAAAATTACTCCTACAATCAGTTCCCTCATGGAAAACCAAGATAAGACTTTTGAACGCAATTTGAACGTTCATTCATCGGTTGTGCAGATTCGGGTAATGTATCCGAGTCGATTTAAATCTCCAAGAATTTACGCCTTGAAGAAAAGAATCTCCCTTAAGGACTTCTCTTCACACCTTCTGATTCGTTTGTAGCACTCCAATGGAAACACTTAGCCAGTACAATTACGCTTATTCAACTAAGTGATGACTTAGACAATTGCTCTCTTCATTTTCACCCTCTCTGTGACACAAAAATGACGCAAGGAAAAACTCGCTTCATCGTGAAAGACTTGAAGACAATCTAGAACTCTTATTTAGATACAATTTATTTAGATAATTGAAACAGCGAAAATAAATTTATTTGGGTTCTTATTCTAATTGACGAAAACGTTAAACTTATTAACTTGCTAATCTAAAGCAAAATATTTGCAGAAAGCACAAGTGAACCTAGGTCCAATAACCTCAATAAGTCACGATTTTGTTCATCTTGATTGATTTGTGACACATCAGATAACAAAAAGAAAAACTTAAATTAGCATAATCCTGATACAATATTGTCTCTTCGAAATAAAAATAAGACAATACTGTTTCTATAAGTAATTTTTGACTGGTAAAGTGGTAAAGTTCTACAAATAGCTCTTAAGACGCTACAGCATAATTTGTATCCGTAGAAATCTCTCGATGGTGTACAAGAAGGAGAGGAATTCCTTACTTGTTTCTTCAAAAAAAGTAGAGACTAAAATCTTCTCTGCACGGGTTAAATAACCCATCCACTTCTAGCAAATAGTAGGGACTGTAACTCCCGGTGTTCAGTGTGGGTCTGGCCTTGCTTCCAAAATTTCTTAAATTGTAGGCACTTGAACTTTCTTTTAATATTTTATACTGCTCAATGCGATTTAACCAAGGTTCCCCGCAAAGTGTCGTAAAGCGCATCAGAGCACAGTAGTACAAATATAACCATCAGCAGCACTAATAACATGGAGAAGAAACAAGTATCAACGAGCGTTTTCACAGCGTTAACACCCTTAGGGCAATATTCTCGACTTCACGACGAAAAATTTTTTATTATTATTTTCCATGAAAAGAATTAGGGACACGTGTTGCATAATCATATTGCATGTTTTCCTATTTTCCCTTTTCTTTTCGTGTTTTATTTCTTTTTTGGCTCGTCACAAGCCAAAGGTGATTGTTGGCCAAATCAACTGCAGTAAACGGACAGCGATTCTAAGTAAAAATTAATAGATTTGGTGGAAGCCGCTGCGACTGAAATACAATTCAAGCTTCCAATAGCGCAAAAGAAATTGGAAAAAGTTTCCCTTAATCTTGATTTTCTCAAAACAGTGGATGTTTCATGATCTGACCAAATTTACTTCATGGGCGCCTTTCAATGGCGCTTAGTTTGTAGATTCCTGCAAGCATGGAGATCTGCCTCGGCGATCACGATTATTTATGTGACGTTTCAAGTCACAATATAGATTGTATAGTTATTGAAGGAAATTAACAACCTTTGTGTAGAAGACAAAAAATGAGTCTGAACCGTTAGAAATATATTTTCTCAATTTTCAGAAAGATTCACAAGAGTTAAATTCAATTATCAAGCCGTGAAGTTGCATTCCCAAATTGGTATACGTTCATTTTAGACTGTAGGTGGGTAAAAGATACACCTGTGGTTTCGGAGTTGCCAGAGAGTTTATTTCAGTACAAGCTTCACTCTAATAGGCTCTTTCGGTCTGGCTTAACCTGACTTTAGGATTGATTTTCCTTAACTCGGGGAATTTTCGATGAGCAAATCCAGGTTTAACTGGATCTCGGTGTTGTCAATCTGTACTAAAAAAAATATAAGTTAAGATCAAGAGTCATACATATTAAACTTTTTTCCGCTTCGTAGTTATAAAGACAAATTGAGGCATTCTTCACGACCTTGTTCGCCGATCGCGGTCCGTGTGCTTACTCCAAGTCTACTTTGTTCTTGTTTAGCGTGTTCTTAAAAAAAAAACCCGTGAAAGAAGAAGGTGTTATATGACAAATTCTCCTGGGGATATACACAATGAGTGAGGTTTAAGTGTCACCTTAACTAATGTCGATATTTCTGACAACAAATTTTGACCATAAAAGTTAATGCATTTTAGCTGGAAAGGAAAGTTACCTCGAAGGTAAACATGCCAAATGTTAGTCCTATTCTGAGGCGTACCATTCCCTATTGTTAAAGAGCTACCGGTTGATTTAAGCCCAAAATACAGGGTCGCTTTGAGCTCCATTGAGTGATGTTGAAATTTCAAAAATTGATGGGACAGCTGTAAGGCGACAAGTGTGAAGTGGCCGATTAAATTGCACAGCATTATTTAGTATCCAGTGCAAACACACGCAACATTTTTGGTGGCAAATTTACATTATCCACTCAGTTGATGAAAGCAAGTTTTCTTATAATATAGTGGTAAACCTTACTTCAAAAATTAAACCAAAATCTATTTTACAACAAAAAGTGCTACTTTGGTCATTTATAATTCAAAATGTAAGTTATTTTGCAAAGAGAAAAGTTTTTGTTGTCAAAAAGGCTTATTTCATCGGTCTCCTTGTTTTAGTATCGATGTTTGCTTCACATGTTGCTATTTGTGATAAACTAAAAAGCAAAGAAGTAGATATCGAGACCAAAAGTTTGTCTTGGTTATTGATATCATACGAATTCTTCATTTGGAACAGAGGCAATAATAACGATTTGAACCAAATGCGGTCATTGTTTTCATTGATGATTTGCACCAGCTGCGCGATAATTTGACCCCAGTAGGTTTTTTGTAGCTATGAGTGTAGTGTCAAAATAAATTGCTTTAAAGAATAAAACAAAAGCAAAAAAATAAAGCAATATGTCTTTGCTGTTTTTTCCCTGTCGTGAGTGACACTTTAGCAAACACAACATGTACTGCCGTTTTAGCTTTTGTTGTTATTTTGCTCCTGAAGTTTGTTTAGCACGAGGAAGCCTTTCTCATATTTATTTTCTATAACGTTGACGTGAAAATTCTTAATGCAACTTAAAGGAAAATGCTGAACTGAAAAAAAAAACAACCTTTGTTTCACTGATCATGTTTTTGTGGCGTGCTGTGGTAGTCTTAGTGAGTGGTTAATGAATTCAGAAAAACACACAATGTTACTATGAGCCGAAAGAAACCTAATTTCGTGAGGAGCTCTGTGTTTTGATTTCTAGAAAAATCGCAGATTGTTAACATTTAATCACGGCGTTAGGTCCAACTGATTTTATTTGTAACAATAAATTGTATCTGTAAAATACTCTCCGTTGGATTTTGTGCAAACGGGAACGCATGCACAGTATCTTATCCATTGCCTTATTTCGTGTTTTTGTTTGGTAATTAAGGAACTTACTTTATTTATAAGCGTGTTTTGTTGTTTTTCAAATATAAAAGTGTATCGATATTGCTGGACATACATATAGCTTCATCAACGTGTGTTTGCCTGCAAATCTGTCTCTCGAAGGATTTCGATCTAGCCGTTGAACTAATTGACATTTTCAAGGTAAGTACAGAAAGCTGATACTCATATTGATAAGTAAAATCAAAAGTTTGTAGCTGAACTACCATGAAGAGACATGATGTAATTTGCTACCACTCACTTAACAAAGCTTTGACTAATTTGATCAGTTTCAGATTGTTTCCTGCTATCATCGCGACAGCAGAATCGATTTGCTATATCTCATATTTTCAGTTAACTTTAAGCTCTTCTTTTTTTTTCATATCATTTTTTCTTTCATCGAGATTGTCGATCCCAGAGAAATTTGGCTCTTTCTCAACTGACAAGCATTATGTAATCACCTTCGCGCCGAAAGAAGATGAAACTGCAGAGCGCTGGGCAAGGTCTTATTTGCGGCCAGAGGTTTAACATTACGATCAGTATCCACGCCTTATTCCACCACATGAAACTGATCTAATTTTTTATCATTCTCTTTCGGCTTTTCTCTTCGTCAACATATTCTTCTTCGTGGTAGTTATAAAGATCCAGTACTTTGATAAGGACCGTTTAAAACCTTAGGGTTTACAGCAGTGAAGCAACCTATGTAGTCAGTGGTGATTTCAATCCGTTTTTCGAAGATTGTGTCATTTATTGGCGAATAATACAGCTGAGCTGATCTACTCTGCCATAAATTCTTTAGATTCTCAATCCACTATGGTACCTTCTCTTTTACATCAGGCATATCGCTGTCTTCGAGATAGTCGAGTCCCAGAGGACTTTGACCCCCCTCACGATAAGCATTACGTAGTCGCTTTCGCGTCAAAGGAAAGGAAAATTGTAAAGTGCTGATCAAGGTCTTAATACTTATTACTTCTCCGAGAAAATGTTTTCCTTCCGAATCAAAAAATTACACATGCGGTAATATTTCAACACATTATATTAAAAATCAATAAAAGCAAGAAACAACCAGATGGCTCTCTAGAAGCACGATTCGGCTCGCAACTTTACGAGAGGGTTCTTATGTGAATGAGGACTGCAATGCCGGTGAAAAGTTGTAAATCAAAATATTTCATGAACAGATTAACGGCTGTCACGTGTGTTTCAACATTTTGTACGTTTTATAGTTGAGCTATGCAAAACGATAACATTTTGGGTGTCTGAGAACAAAGACCTCAATGGTAGTTTTTGTTTCTTTTCGGTTTCTACCTAGAACTCAACAACGCCTTCATCTATTACCCTGAAGAGTTGGTCGAATGCCGTTTAGAACGGTATGCCGTTTTGGACAGCAATCGCATCACTTGCGAACTTTTTTTTACTTTTCTTTTTTTTAATGAGCCACCTGTCGCAATGTTGCAATTCTTAAAACGCATCGTGCACGAAACCAATCAGATTTCGAACCAAAAACCATACAATCATAAGAGATTCAAATTATAAACCCTACAGAAATGACTTGGAGCGAATAGGGACCGCAGCTAAAATTTTGAGCTTCTCAATCGTGCGGCTAGATTGTGATTTCTACTAATAAAATTTTTATGCCTTGGTCTAACTATGAAATTAAGTAATCAATCTTATCTGCACGTTTTTAAGGAGAACCATGGGCTTTGTTCGCTGTCTACAAGCTCTGTTGTTGGTATCACAACTCATTCCCTTCCACGCCTCCCTTATGACGCAGAGAACAGTAAATTGTCAAAACTTCAAGTTTGTTATAGATGAGGATGTCATCTACAACCACATTCTTGAGAGTCACGTGTTTAAAAGATCAACAGTTCACAGCGCCGCCCAGTGTCACGTGAAGTGCAAAGATGACTGCTTGTGTGTATCCATGAATTATTTTCCACAGTCTAAAGAAAATAACTGCGAGCTTAACGATGTTAACAGAGACATGGAGCCCGCGGCAATAAAATGGAAGCAAGGAGGAAATTATTATGATCTGGTGAGGAGCTACACGGTAAAGGTGAGAGATGGAATTCTTAGTTGCTAGACTAGAGTATTGTTTGTGTTTTATTTTTTCAGCTATTTTTTTCAGCTGTATGTTTCTCGCTCCTGACCATCTAGACTTTTGGAACTGCGTTTCTTTTTTGTTCCTTGACTTCCTCTTCGCTAAATTATATGAATTCAAATATCTCTTTGCAATTGATCCTCAAAAGCCTTTCCTCTAAATCTTTAGTGTCTTTGTTTTTGTCCGTCAAAATTGCCAAAAAATACTTGTAGAAAAACTGTTCGTTTAAATTCAAATAGGGCGGAGAAAACTACGTATCAGGAAAACATCGTTGTGTTAATAAATGCTGCAGCCTAAATCCCTGCCTCAACGGAGGGGTATGTCAGGAAATTTGTGACACTCACAGCACCAGGTTTAACTGTACTTGTCCTGAGATATACACTGGTCAGCGGTGTGGTAAGATAAGTCAGATTACTTATCCAAGAAGCTGCAAAGACATCGCTAAGAACGGCGCCTCAGCAGCAGGAAACTACAATATATTCAACTCAGCCGATGAACCGTTTTCTGTTTACTGTGACTTGCAATCAGAACCTGGCTTTGTATGGGCGTTGATACAGTCTTTCTCCATTGCCAATAAGGCGACGTTTAAGGACAAAGGGTTTGGCACCGATTTTCCCGTGAATGACAATAACAACAATAAGGATTGGAACTCTTATCGGCTTTCATTGGCAAGAATGCAATCTCTTTTTCAATACTCGACACATCTGAGAGTAACATGCAACTTTCCAACAGATGGCCTGCTTTACACGGACTACGCACGCGCCGTTCTTCGGGCAGGTCATGATATATTTGGAAACTGGAACCAAGATTGCAAATTGTTCGAGTATATTAACATCCGCGGAATTCACTGTTCTAATTGCACCGCCGACACAAGAATGGAATCTGATAAAGCTTGGTTCGTAAACAGTTTTAAAAGCAAGGACAAAGGTTGCGAGTTTGATGGATCACCAGGAGCAGTTGACGGCGAAAATAATTTTGGAATGTACCATTCCGGGGCGATAAATACGAATCACCGCTGCTCTTCTTCATCTTCCTCTACAACACAATACTGGTTTGGAGTTAAACACGAATAGGCTCAGATTCTGAGTACTACAACCCTCGCGACTAAAAGAGGAACCGGGCATTATTCATCGCCTGAGAGGGGTGAGGGGAGGAGGATTTGGAGGATTTTAGACGTATTTCGATGAAATTAACCTGATTCCGTCCCCAAGACTGTCTGTAATGAGTAGAATTTGAATCTTGTATTGTAGTATGAAGTATTGTCGAATGAAGTAGACTTGTCGACCAGTTTTATAATCCTCCAATATATTTTAATTCTAATTATGGTACTTTAAGGATCGAGGGCCATTAGCTCATCACTTTAATTACAGTTGTGTATTACCATCCTTTAATGAAGTTATTTTTTCGTTGAAAAACAACAAGTTAATTTAACAAGTTGGTTGTTTAGGTAGTCATTTATTTGCCTTGTTATATAGCCGATTGACTCTTTATTACAATTATTTATTTATGTATAGTTTGCACGAAGATGTTAGCATTTTGGTGCTGCTCTGTCCAAACATATACACAACAAAGTCGTGTGGGTGCAAAGCTGGACGGCTTTTTCAGGACCGGCTCATGTCAACCCATTCGGTCCTACACACAGCAGCTTTCACTATTGTGTGCGCGAGGCCGTAAGGGTCATAAGATAATATGTACTTACTTCAAACATACTGAGACTTACCCATGAAAAAAGCCCGCTTAAAATTCTTGCGAGACACACAACTAACCAGACAATAAGAAAAGCGAGCGACTGTGAAAATTCATCGTTCGTCCAGTCAGAGACACAAACGATAGCACTTTACAGTGGTGAACAACGAGCAAGTGACTTTCTGTCAGAAACAAAATGGAAGAAGTGCCAAAATTTGCTCGCCTTGAAATAGCAATAGATGACTTCATAGATGAGCAAGAAGACAAAAACAAGAGAGCAAAGACCGACAGAGACATAAGCCTGCTGAAAAACCTTTCTTCTCAGTTTGTATGAAATAAAAAACATCATACCACGGAAAGTGCTCGAACGATTTTTATTTACGAGTTAGGATAAATCAAAAACTTACTCCTTCGCTGCCTTTACTGGTTCGATGGATCCGACTCCTGAGTAAAAATCGTCCGTGTGTAGTTTCCATGGGATAATCTGTCACTGTCATTTCATTTACCTGACATGACGTAATCTGAAACAAAAAAATGAAAAATAATTAAGCCTCCTGCCTAAAAGCAAACGTTATTAATAAAATTTCACGAGGTCAAATACTTATCCATTGGAGAAAAAATAATTTTTTTTTTCTAGTTAAGAAATTTTTTTCTGTAAAACAACGCTCTGAAGGATTGTAAATAGTGGATTCATCTATCTGTGAAGTCGATCTTCACCACAGATGCACATACTTGCAGAATTTCGAAAAGAACATTTAAGCGCAAAACGAACGCTCTAGCAAATAGCTGTGAACGGTCACATCAGTTTAGCAGACGAAGCTATCACCAAAGAGTCCAAAATATATCTTTATACGTGTGAAGTGTAAATAAAAGTCAGTTTACGAGGAAATGATTGTTATTCAAATATTAAACTGGTTTCTCTTCATTGCCCAGGTTGCAGGACGGGTGGGAAATTCACGACTTCTTTTTGGCTTTTTTTGGAAACCGATAAATAGAAAAACGCTAGACTCAAGGAATCAGCAATCATCTAAACCAGAGAGTGTGTTTTATCGTAGCATGTTTCATGTTGTACATAGAATCAATTTTAAGGGGTGTTTCTACAAACGTAAATCTGTCACGCCTTTCAGGTGTGTCCTTGATATTCTCCCTCAGCAAAACGGTGTGGCTTCACAGGAAAAGCACGCTTTGGAATTAAAAAGAGATCTCAGAACCTTTTTTCATCACAAAACTACAGTAAGAGAAACCTTTCCCTCCATGAATTGTTCAATTTCAGCCGTGCCGTTAATGTGTTTCTAGCCTCAACGAAATCTTCTCTAAAAATGATTGGTAATCTATTTGTTAGGTTTTATTATTTAATCTTCATTTGAGGGGTCGCAAGTTATTGTTTACCGTAAGAGTACTGTTTACGTTTGACTGAAAATGTTTCTATTTTTGGAAAACCTGAATTAAATGCTCAAACTTAAAGCTGGTTTCTTTCCAAGACTGAACTATTTGACTATGTATCAAACAAATTTACCAAACTCTTATGGTATCTGTAGTTAAAAAGAAAAAAAATGCATAAACCTGATTTCATTAAAAAGAAAATTCTGTCTGTAGGGGTAGTTGATAAAAGCCGATCAACAATACTGTGTTGTCTAATAATTACTGGGATACTTGTGGTAGCCCAATCATAAAATGCCTTTGTTTTTTTTGTCGTCTTTTTTTTTTCCTCCGCCACAAAGTGAAAAAATTGCGCAATAGTACCCAGTGGTCATTGGGCCCTCAACACCATGACAACTAACTGTGATCCAATGAGGTGTTCGCATGCTGATCACGCGTGTTATCTTGATGATGACTGGCGTTGTCATGCACGGACAGGGCCGGGTCACACGATGAACCACGAGATTTTTGCTCATAAAACTCTTTTTTCAGTCGTTTTGTGTTTCAACGTGTTTGGATTACGATCACCTGGAGTATTATGGCGCAAACGCTCAAAATACTTACAGACGCATACACAAGTCGTATTTTTCGCGGCCAATCTACACTAAAAGATGTTATTGAGCGGTAATTTTGGAACGGATTGAGTCACGAACGCTTGAAAATTACTACTACTAAAATTATTACGTTACTTGAAATTGGTCCTGAGGTGAAAGTTCCGGAAATTAGTGAACGATATGTATGGAACTCACTGAGTACTCTAAAGAAGACTGCAACTGGTCCTGACCAAATTCCGTATTGGGTGTGGAAAGACCATGCGGAGATCTTCACTCCAATCATTACTAAGCTATGGAATTTGTCTCTCGCTACGCACCAATGGCCTAGATCGTGGAAAAGGGCAAGTATAAACCCACTGCCAAAAGTTGATGTTCCAGTGGCAAGAGGGGACTTCCGGGGGATCAACGTAACCCCTGTAATAGCAAGAGCCCTGGAAAAGGCAGTCTATAAGATTCACGCCCAAAGGCCGGTAGAAGAACAGCTGTTGAATAGTCAATTCGCGTATAGAGAAGGAGGGAGCTGCACAGATGCTCTGCTACTTATACAGAATAAGATCTGCAAGTTTCTTGATGATCCCAAGTGCAAGGCAGTGCGGATGTTCGCGATGGATTTCAGTAAGGCCTTTGACTCTGTGAGCCATCAACTCCTTGCTGAGAAACTTAAGAGTCTACCACTTAACCCGTATATCATAAACTGGTGGTTAGGTTTTTTGCGAGATAGAAAACAAAGAGTTATTTTCGGGAATCATGTCTGTAATTGGAAAACAGTTAACAAGGGCACAACCCAGGGTAGTGTTTCAGGACCTTATTTGTTCAATATATTTCTTAACGATCTGGAAATTAAATTAGGGAACGAGACACTTGGTTTCAAATACGCTGATGACTGTACGATTATTGCTCCGGTATATTATTATAAAGATCATTCTGTAGACTTAATAAATCAGTTTTACAGTGGGCAAGCCAAAATAGAATGAATTCAAATTCTACTAAATGTAAAGAGCTTATTATGTATAAAAAAGGTCACACTGCTGAGGCCTACAAAAGTATTTTTGGCATACCTCAGACTAGTACAATAACCATTCTTGGTCTCACGTTTCAGCCGAACTGCAAATTCAGTACTCACCTAAAAGAAAAGTTAGGTAAAGCTAATAAATGTTTATACGTTATCAGATGCCTCCGCAAAGAAGGATGTAGCCAAGCAGAAGTAGATGTTTTATTTAATTCCATTGTCCTACCTAATATTACTTATGCTCTATCTGTGCATGGGGCCTCTGAGTCAGAGCTAACTATAGCCCAGCAGTTTTTAGATCGTTGTTTTAAACGTAGTTACATATCTAAGAAATTAGTGATAGGTGACTTACTTAAAACGCAAGATCACAAAATTTGTCGCAAGGTTTCAACTATCCTGAGCCATCCTCTTAGAGCCTACTTCCCTGAGACCAAGACCACGAGGTATAATTTGAGAAATAAATCCCCTGTCATGCCCGCCATTCGCACAAACCGTTTTAAGAATACATTTTTTAATAGAATTGTTTTTAAGTACAATGTAGCTTTGTAAAAGTGTACTTCCTGTATTAGACTTTTGTATTTGTTTCCACGTATATACTTATCTTATTTAGATACACCTAAGCTTATTTACATCCTTTTTTTAATGTAACATAAGATATGTAATTTTATCTTTTGAACAATAAAGACACTTTACTTTACTTTTAGACACTTTACTGAAAGCCATGAAAGCCTTCAATGCCTTGTATGCCTTGTATGCCAAGTATGCCAATGTCATAGTTGAAAAACGTACACTTGTTGTAAAAAGCAAAATCTGAAATCTGAAACCAAACTGCATATACTCTATGCAATCTATTGAACAACACTATTACCGTGAGACTGAAGAACAAAACTCTAATGGATGCAAACTGCTGGTGAAGAAAGACGCCATGTTCTTGATGCCAGGAAACGTAGCTACGATAACACTGCGAATGGTTTTAATTTCACGATTAGAAAGGTGAATCTTATTTTTGTTTTCATTGTAGTTGTATGGATATTCTTTTTAATAAATACATGATCCAAAATCCTGTGTTTTTTTTGTAAAATGTTATTATGTTAAGTATTGTTTACGCAATTGTCTTGTCACAGGCGGCTCAAGCTCACGCCTCGAGAAAAAGCCAACGATTAATTCATGAACACGTCACGCGTTGTGTGACTCGGTGTTAAGTTACTAGAGGAACCGTTGAAAATTTGAACACGTTATAAGGAATAGTACAGGAAACGAAATATGGTCGATTTAAAACGACAAACATTTCGAAATATGAACATTTTTCTGGTAAAATCAAGAAAAATTACTCATACCCTGCGCATCCGTTGTATTTTCTGGCGATTTCTGCCGTTTTAAGCTTGCTTTACCATCACTGTTATTCACGTCATCTACTTTTATTACGTTGGTAAAAATCTGTACAGACATCACACCAACCAACTTGCGCGCAAAGTAAGAAGACTACATTGAAGGCTTGAAATTATATTACGATCGATTTTCATCAAGAAATGGGCCAGGAATTTTCCACAATAGTGCAAATAATCGCGAAGGCTGATCGCGGAGAAGCGATTGCGTGACACTCGGTAAGCAGTAGGATGACGTTTTATTATATATCAGACGTAACAACTCTTCAGATTCTCAGTCTGCATTTTGTACCCACTCTCTACTCTATATTTTGTATCCGGTCTACAGTCCGCTGTCTGTATTTTGTACTAACAGGTATCCGTGGCACCAATACAGTTTCTTTTTGGTTACATTTACTCGCACAACACACACAATCTACCACAAAATACCTGTGTGTGAGGTAATTCGACATTTTTGTTCTTTTCCACGTTAATACTCTTCTTTTCTTTTGTAAGAATGTAGACCAGTTACAATGTTTCAAGTAATCCACCCACCCTACAAAAAATAACTTTTGCATGCATAGCATGCCTATGTTTTGAAATAGGTGTATGCCCTTGGCCAGACGAGCTCACTATTTGAGTATACTAGTCCGACACCCGTAGTATCACTACACTTGATTCCAAGGATCCAGTACCATCCAGGTATCCCAGTTACTCTGCTCACTGGGTCTAGTTGACAACTAATCACCGAAGTGAAGAGAAAAGCCGGGTGGACATTTACCGAGCCATTTACCGAAAGGCGAGGCAAATATCCACCTATTTCTCATTGACAGTGTACCCAAATATGGTCAGAAATTATATTCTTGACTTGCGAATTTGTCTCTTCCGCTGCTTGAGGATAAATAGTACTGGCTAATCACTTTCAAATTAGCCAATCAGAGCGCTTGAAAAGAACTACTCTCTTGGTATAAACTAAAATTAATTATTTACGTTCATATTTACGCTAGAGAATTTTAGTTGTGTCATGACGAAATATGTCTCATCCTCCGTGAGCTAAGGCTCTATAATCACCCTCCCTCCTCCCCCCTCTCTCCTTTAAAACCTGAAAAACCGTGTGATCCCTCAAAATTATTCCTCCTTTAGAGATAACTACAGGTCCCCTAGTTACTTTTTCCATCCTAAAAGTATTTACATTTGAGACAACTGATTTAAATATCATGTGTGTTTTCGAAAGGGGTTAGGGATCGCATATGTGGCACTAAAGCAAATGACAATATTTGTGCTAAGACTTTATTAAAATCACGTATGAACTGAGGTACTTAATTTTACATGTCTCGCTGCTGTCTTCCTGGACAAGCATTTCTACAAACTGAAGAGTACCCGTTTAATAATAAATTCAACTGAAACTTTATCAGCTATTAGCTATTAACAATATTTATGAATATCGCCACCACGTGTACCATCTCTACTTACATGATACTGCTAATAAAGACAACGTACGTTTGTTCAAAACCGGTGCAGCCCGTTTTCAAACGGGAATATCACATGCATATCGAATTATTCTATAGAGTATAGGTTTGTGAAAATCGGAACACTACCTTCATCTTGGAACATCCAATGCTACAATTAATGCGAGTATTATATGTCTTAAGGTATAAATAATACCCTAAAAAACGTTACTAGAGCTAATCATTAAAAGCCATGTTTCGCCTAAACATATCTGCTCTCGCTATTCTATTAAATATTTTAAAGGAAGGAGGATGCGTTGCCTTGTATGCTAAATTCTATAAAATTTCTGGCCGTCTTCTTCATTCCTCATTATTCCTGTCTCTCTTTTCTTCTTTTGAGGTGGCTTCCTCTGCTTCAGAAAGTGGTATGTGATGGTCAGAGAGCCGACTCCTGAAAATAGGAGCAATTTTTCAAAGGGTAATTTAGAGTTATCAACTGAGTTGAAAACGTAAATTGGCCAGTGTAAAGAGTTTAAAGGCTGACGTTTCGAGCGTTAGCCCTTTGTCAGAGCGATTGGATCCTTGTGTCTCTTTTACATACTCTTACTTTACTCTAAGAAAATACCACAGTAACTGACCAGCGTACGTAGGAGCTCATTCTCAACGCCTCCCAAAAGAAAGACAATCCTTGAAAATGTATAACAATTAAATCTATATCACAAATTAGAGAGATCATTATATTTTTCTTCAAATGAAGGATCACCAACATATCGTATGTCTACGACTAACCAAGAATACAGGTTGGCAGATCCTATAGATGTACAAGTGTGAAAAAATTTCACTCTTAGCTTGTTCATCTCTTTCACAAACAAAATAAAGAGGTCAGTCGGCTTATAGTCTGGAAGAAGTTGCATAACTTATTATTATAATATGTAGGTCAATTCTAAGAGTAAGGGAGACGACTTTGTATTAGGATGACACTTTTCGCTTCTCAAGAGATTTATTAGACCATTAAAGTGGACGATATCTCTGAAACAACATCGCCATCACCCAAAACACAAAAACAAACAAACAAACGAAAACAGGAATTACTAGCCATGTACTCACATGGTTATCTGCTGGCACGCTTTCCATGATGCCTGTGCATGTTCAGCGGTAGTGGTAGATACCGGTGCGATTATTTCTGTTTGTGTCCCACGGTCACATTTAGTGTTGCTGCATCTGGTTACCCTGGATTTTACTGAACTTCTTTCTTGTCTTTCACTGTCTTCATGGGTTGGAGAAAAACTTAATGCTCCACTATCTTTTGCACTGGCCGCAATGGAGGGCTTCCCAATGATCCCTGACTGAAGTTGTGTTTTAAGCATGTTTTTGCCAACCATTCCACGAATCTCACCTTGAAGGTCATTAAGTGGAAGAAGCAAGGCTAGGCAGCAAGACAAGGACCATTTTGGATTTTTGCGCCACTCTTTGAAGAACTGATGTAAGAATGCCAGGTACTGAACTAAGAAGAAAATGAAGGATGAAAGAATTGAAATTTCCCTGTTTAACGATAAACCTTAACCAATTACGTAGTTTCAGTTGTTAACCAAATCAATTGAGCTCCTATAGAGAGACTAAATCCCTATTGAGCGTTTCATTAAGTTTAATGTTTAGTTACTGTTCAGATAAATTCAAGATACGATAAGGTTATCTTTAATGTGAGTGATATGACACTTGTGTGGTTAATATTTCATAAAATGGAATTACAGAAATACAAAGTAACAGATAAAAGTTGCAGTTAAGTTTTTTTCCCATCAAACTCATATTTATCTTACCAGCAAGAAGGCCAATCACCAACGTATTTGCCCCAATAATCAGTATTTTCATTGCCAAAGCGTCCTTCTGATGGTCCGCCATGTTTAAAATGTTCTCTGCCGGAATTCTGCTCACAGCGCCAATAGCCAAGTTTACAATTGTAACGGCAAGGGAAGTGGACATCAGTCTGTTCTCAAAAGTGTCTTGCATGGGCTTGATCCAGCAGAAAAGCACTGCATACATACCGGCAACAACCCAGGCCAATCCAGTGAAGGATCTGCTTTCTTGACCCACGAGAATGAGGCCGCATGTAAGAATGAACTTGCGGGACATTTCAACCAGTTCCCAATACCAGGAACGAGGTTTGTAATTTTCGAAGAGAAATCGCAATCCGTTGACAACTTCTGGACCAGAGAAATTATCACGGTCCTTCTTGGTTATGATTGTTCGCCGATGCCTCCAAAGGGCGACGAGAGAAAGAGCAGGTAAAGCAATGATGTATGCAGCTGAAACATAAGCTACGATCACAAGATGATTGTAATTTGCTCCTTGGCATTTTATGCTGTAATCTACTTTCAGGTACTCGTCACATAACTCTTCTCTTTTATCTTTGCAGAGTTTCTGGCAGGCGAACGGCATAACACTGGCTGTCCTTGAACAAGTGCTTAGGTATGTCACGTACAGGAAGAAAAAAACGTTTCTGTAAATAAGAACTTTCCTCTGTGAAATTGTTTGTGCCCTTTCGTCCTCCTCCAGGCCCTGTTTTTTTGAGATCATTATATACCAAAAACCATAGATCACACACGAACCAACAATAACAACGGCGTTCATTGACAAGAGCACAAACAAATCTCCAAAGGCATCCACGTGTAAATTGTGATTAAGGCAGTGAATCGGTGCTACCTGAAGCAGATTCATCTGTAAAATTCCTGAATACTTGGACACAACCTGCAATGAACCTGGCCATTCAATGAACGAGAACACGTCTAGCAAGCCATGAGTGACTTGATAAAAACCAATCATGATCTTAAGCTTTGACAACAAATTGTCAAAACGAGAGAGTCCCCGGTCCATTGAAAGATTATTTTTCTTTCTCCATACTAAAAGGGCCAACAATATCGCTATAATAGCAGCAATGAGAGATAACTGTCCTGCGATCCAGGCCCATGAAGGACATTTTTCACAAGAGTGAAATTGTTTGTGGTACCCTGGATTGCATACAGCGCAAAGTGGACCTTGATACCCTTCTCCGCATGGTGAGTCCAAACCACCTTTGCAAGACTCCTCTACCTGACATCTGTGTGGTGTTGGTATTGCATAAGGATATTGCACTGAGAAATCATCCAATGCAGGTAACTCTCGGGCGAGATTTTTCATGAAATATTCATAGCGATGTTTATGGGACTCGTTCCGCCATTGCCACCAAAAGCCATATTTTAGTGAGGCATACTCATCTTGGCATTGCAGCCCGCTTTGGCCACATGTAAAACACTTTTTGAAGAGATGAGTTCGGTAATGTCCTTCCAAGCAGGGACAAGCACGATGTCCAGCGAAAAAATCGGTTTCTGTTCCTGTAAAAATTCAAAATTGTATTATTAATCAATCAAATCTTACTCACTCCTACCTTCAGTTGGATGAAGCTTGAGCCCAAAAAACCAGCTGGACTCATCATGGCTCCTGTTGTCCTTTTTAATTGTCATTTTAAAAAAGTAGGCTCAAAGTCGTTTTCGTTCTCGCTCCAAATGTTTGGTTGAAGAATAGACAACTCGCAAAAAATGCGGAATCATTGGTGTTATTTATCGGCGCAGGGTGGAAAGAATTCTCTCTTTGAGACCCGATGTTCTGGCCAATGTTGATTGAGGGAACGATCAACTAATAGGTTCACCTATAAACCTTGGGGCGTCAAATAGTACCCTTGAAGTCACTTGACAGGTTGTCGAAACGTCAGTTACCACTACCGACAACAGTCCTCCTCAGGACTACACTCACCTGAACGATTCAACTATACTATTACATGTTACCCCCTGGTTCAAATCATTTACTGTAGTACCCTTGAAGTAAAAAAAAAATCTTCAAACCAACCATACACGATAAAGCGAACACAGGGACGGGTTCCGGACATTCAACTCTTGCCTACGTGCTGGGTTTGTTTCTTAAGATAAACACGACTGTTCGAATTCTATCTTCTATTTTACGTCATTCTTTCCAGACCTCTGGACAGCATTTGGTTACGTGTGTACACACTGACAGCTCAAACCCTTTTGTGACGTTGGAAAGCACATGTTTGGATATTACCGTCAGGACATGTCGTGCAGTCCAATACAGATTTTCCAGGTTTTTTGTCATATGCCACGTAAGAACCATTTGGACATTTCTTACAGCCGTCTGCAACATAACCAAGTGTGTCGGAGTAGAAACCACCTGAAAGAGGAACGTGTCAAAGTGCCAGTTGTGGTTATGAGTGGTTTCAAGTACATTTTGATTATATGTGAAAATAAAAATATAAACCGTCAACATACCTGAAACTTGGTGGAATAAGAAGTTTCCGCCAGCTTTACTTACTTTGGTTCAAAGTCAAATTTTTATCAATTTCAGTTTAATTGATTAAGGTAAAATTTCCTTTGTAAGTTTTTTTTCCTAAATTGATATACTTGATGCTTTGGACAAACAGAGACTATTTTTTATTTATATACTGAAACCTGAAATCCTCTCTCACGCCAAAATATTTTGGTGTGGTTACTGACTCTAAGATAAAACGACCGCAGCGGACGTTGAACATTCAAGCTTCCCCAGAATAAGTGCTTTGGCAATATTGTACATGTACAAGCATAAATAGGTCTATAAAAGGGTTATTCCTAGACACAGGTCTCTACAAATTAATCGCCTTCACCGTTTCTTATTGTGGCCCAAGCGACATCGGGTCCTTAAAAACGTCCAGGCTATAACATACCAGGAGAGCAATCAACGCATCTCCAACTTCTTGTCCCCAAAGACTTCGAAAATGATCCCAAAGGACATGGGAGAAATACAACATGTGATTGGTTTTCATTTTTGGTGAAACCCATACTGAGTAGTGCTTGCTGAAGGAAGAAGTATTCAATGCCGTTACGTTCAACGACAATAGATTCATCGTAGGAATAAAGAGAGTTCCTAAAGTGAAGATGTTAAAATGATAATGAAATAGTATATTTTTATATATATATATATATATATATATATATATATATATATATATATATATATATATATATATATATATGATTGCTTAAGCTTGCGTGACTATATCATTCTAAACTTTATCAGACTATACCAGACATTAATGCCGATGACGCTGGTAATTGATTTTTATATCATTTCTACTACTTTTATTTTAAACGCTCTGCTTTTTCCCTCAGATCGGTATAATAGTGTTCCAAACATCCTACATTTGAATGTTAAGTTTTTTTTAATGTTTCTACGCTCCCCGGGTTGTTATTTTTCTGTGTTAAAATGCCTCAAAGTTTATCACAATTAAATGTTTATTTTAATAAACATTGGTTAGCTGCTTCTCCTCAATTAAAGTTACATATCAAAACTAATGTGTATGTCATATGATGTTATGCGTGTACGTTATCAAAACATTCATCTTATACTGACAAGTAAATTGTGACTTTCCCTCTTGGAATGGAATAATACATGGTTCTAGCTGTTCTATTCCTTACAACACTGCAACAGAAATTAGACAATGTCTCTACAGGCTGAATCATTCTAAGGTAACTGAAATAAATCAACGTTAGCTATCACAAGTTCGAAAGGTTACTTATTTTATGTTGTTGTGTTTTATGTTTTGTTTTGTTTTGTATTTTTTTCCCAGACAGTGAGAACACTCATGGGAGGAGGAGAGATCGGTCAAGGAATGGACTAAAAGTAGACGAAAATCGGACATTGCAGCCGCAGGATAAATTTCATCAAAGATAGAACAAATTGTTATTCTTCCAGCTACTTGGTGCAGATACTGAACCTTTGATCATGTTAGATACGCACAGTTTAAAATTCATAGAGTGGAGGCCTGCGAATAAGGCAGAGGTTAACGTCTTTAAAGTCGTCCGGAGAAGAAAGCTGTAAAATGAGGGAAGAATAGCAAGAGCTGAGATCATCTCATTTAGGGAGAGAGGCTCGCTTACGACAAATTAAGCACAGGTTCAATGCACTTTAGTCCTTAACTTGGCGATATATTTGATCTGATTTTGTTTTTCAAGTTCTCAAAGGTTTCAGTCGTCCTTCAAAACCTGGTCGGAAAATATTGAACTTGGAGAAGTCCTTAAATGAGTAATACCTGGATGGAATATCATTCTAAAAGAATTAAAACCTACTGACGAATTTTAAGTAAACTTACATTTTCACGCTTAGGGACTCAAGGCGAAAGGCCTCCGGTTCGATAATTTCAAGAGGATTATCAGATAATGTTCTACAGGAATAAAAGAGGGACGAAAATCTGTGGCAGTTAAAATCACGGTGGAATATTTCTATAAAAATATAGTCGAATTATGATTAATTTAACTAGCAGTGGAACAATTGCAACGAATCCGATATAATCAAATACCCTCTATAAAATGAAAGCTGTTAAGGTCCTGATTTCGTCTTGTCATATTTACTATCAAATTAATCTTTATCCTGGACACCAAAATTGTTCGTTTTCGACCCAATTTTGGGTATTTTGACATCTCATAGTATAATTTCACAATTCCAATCGATTAGTTGATTCTTTGATAAAGTTTTAAAGAACATTTCACAGAAAGTTTTTAAAAAATTTCTGCATGACTGCCGACCATGCCCGACTGCTGGCCTTGTAGCTATATATAAATCAGTTTGTTTTATAAGATATTTTTCCAGCGTACTTTGCTGTCGGCTAAGGACAGTGCCTGGTAAGGAGGATCGGATTTTATTGTGCCAGTAAAGAGGATCTTATGAACAGTTAAAAAAAAAATTCAGGAAGAAAATCGGAAGAAGTCACGAGTAAAATTAATGATTAATAGCATATGTGTTTTTAGAAATTGCCCGATTCGGTCAGTGACAAGGCAAATTTCTGCAACACAGTTAATAATAATTCAGAATTTACTTTGGTATTGGTGCTGTAAGATATGTATTTAAATAGCAACCATTTGCTAGAATGGAAACAAGTTCCTGCAAATCAGAATTGTGAGCCGATTATATAAAGCAAAGAAAAAAAATACATCCATTCCTATGCTAGATCGATCGCACTTTACTTTTCCATGATTACTCGCTTGTGATAAAAGAGCAAAATTCTATTTTATCAAGATGATAATAAACGCAATCTATTGCATAAATGAACTGTAAAAAGCGCGAATAAACTAAAGCATGTTAAGCTTACTGGCCACTAAGCTGTACGTCAAAACAGGCAATGAACGAGCTCCTTGATTCCATAATAGTGAAGACATTGTGAAAGCCCTCTCAAATTTGGGCATCACACTCAACAACTTTTAGTAGAATAGTGGATTTGATCAGGGTTCATCTTGACTTCCGTTGCCGTAAAATATTATCGGCAACTTTTTTATGTCGCTGCTTTGTGATCGTCTTTCCAATTTTACGTGCATCTATACCCTTTTTTTTTTTGGAATGACTTCCGTAGTTGGGCATTATAAAAAAGCTGGAATCTCCTCAATTGGTTGAGGAAAAATCGAAACTCAAACAGTAGGTCTAAACTTGGGTCATTTTTATCAGATAAAAAAGCTCTGTAAGGAATTCTCCTCAATTGGTTCCTATTGAGGAAGCTAATCGAAACGGCAAAGCAGTCACTGAAGGAAATAAACTTCAAGACTATTTTTATCAGAGACGAGAACGTGTCAGATATTGTGTTAAAAACGAGTTGTTTGTTTTTCATTGCCTAAAAGACATGATTTGCATTTCTTTCAAGGGCATTAAAATGTAATTTAAAGACCAATAGGAAACTTGACTACCATGAAGGACAACAGTACATAGCTTTGTTACACCTGAGTTTTAAACCGTTTTTTTTCTGAACAACATTGTATTATTATTTGAGTGTTTTTGACGAAAAAGGTCTTTCGTTGGTATCATTTTGAGATAATAGGCGTTTATTATTACTTAAAATGTGGATTTTGAAGCCTTCAGAGTAAAGCTCTTCAAAGACACACTACATCTCAATCTGTAACGTAACTTACTTTGAAGTAGGAATTTTGTTGATATCAAATCGAACCAAACAATAAAAAGAAGTAAAAAATTAACTAAAAGAAAAACAATAAATTGGGTCACCAACATCGTACGCAGTGAATTGAAAGGCACACCGAACGCGTTGCCGGGGAAAAAGGAAAGTTTATTCCAAGAGAAATCCCTGTGGAAACGATTACATAAGACAATCGATGTTATTACAGTCAAAATATATGACCAATATACACCCAAAGGCCTACTATGGGATCTCAAGTCGCCCTAACTAAAAGAAAATTTAGGAATCTACTCCCGAAAAAAACAGGCGATGCAGGCGATCCAGCCTGACTCAAGGAGACTTAACTTCCACAAGCAGTGATACAACTTTTCAAATTCACGAGCCCCATATACCCAAT